TGAGTGCGGAGGGCCGCCAAGGTGACCGCGGCTCCTCTCCCTCCCTTCCCCTCTGACCGGGCTGTGTCTCTCTCTCTGTGCCGCAGTTCTCCTCAAGGACATGAAGCTGCTGGACGTGAAGCTGGGCCAGCTGCCCAGCTGGCTGGCCGTGAGAGACTTCACCCCCGGCGGCATCGTGGGGGCCGTGCGAAGAGGTGAGGGGTCTGAGGGGCCGGCCCTGAGGAGACCTGGGGGGTGCGGGTCCTTTCTCCTGAGGGAGCTGGGCACAAGAGCAGCGCTGGCTGCTGGAGGGGATGCGGGGCTGGCAGTACAAGGGCTGCTGCAGGTTTTTTTTTCTTTCCCAGAACAGTGCCTCCTGTAGCATCTTGTTCTCCCAAGTGTAAATTTGTTTCTTGTCCGGGCTTTATCCACCAGAGGTTTGTTTTTAGTATTCCTTCTTGTATAAAGAGGAAATATGGTGACCTTAGTCTTGACTCGTGAACCTGTTTGCTGAAAATCTTCAGGTTTTCCAACATCACAAGTAAACAAACAAACAAAAAATTGATCCCTAAGGATGTTAAGAAAGGACACAGGGCTTTTATGGATTGCTTGGCAAAAGTTTTGACTGATGCTCTTTGCTATAGATACAGCATTCAGGGAGATTTAAACACAAAATATCAAATGCAAGTGTCTATGTAATGTCTAGATATTGTCTATGTAATGTTAGAATTAAAAAAGCAGATTGAGCTCATGAAAGTCACAGCAATGTTAACGGAAAATGATAAATGGCTTTTTTTACCTTTTTTTTAAGGCTTAGTGCTATTAACTTGAGTTCATCTTGCTTAACTAACACACAGGTTACTTTGCTCAGGCTTGCTTCTGAGACCCTCAGATCTTTCATTAGAAATAATTTCCTGAAGTTCAGTGAAACCAGGCTGCTTCTTTCTGACACAGAAAAATATGCAACTCATCTGGCTGTTATGAAAACTCTTCTTCTGCACAGGTTACGACAGATACTACAATAAATATATCAATGTCAAGAAAGGGGGCTTGGGTGGTATCTCCATGGTGCTTGCTGGTTATGTCGTTATCAGCTACATCTGGAGCTACAGTCACCTGAGTAAGTAAAAGCAGTATGGCTGAGTGTGTGCAGTGCAGCTTGGAAGGTTGCTTGGGGCAATAAAAACAATTTCTCTGCTGCTGCTTTTAGAAATAAAATGAAAGACTGTGGTAACAACTGCTGCTTGAATCTGAGACCGTGGGCAAGCAAACTTTTTTTAGCTATAGAGACCTTGAATGCTTTTAGTAAGCTACCAGATGGCCAATATTCACTTGGTGATGAAAAAAGCTTAGATCTTGTTGCCTGTCTGACCTGACAGTGCTTAGAAACTACATACTTGGATTTTTTAGACTGCTTTATTTCCTGTAATTTCAGGTGTGGTTTTTTTTCTTGTGTCTTCAGTAAAATTAACTTGCTTTCCTTTGATACAGAGCATGAGCGCCACAGGAAGTACCACTGAAGTGTGAATTTCAGAAAGTGAAGGTGCAGCTCTTGATCGTACGTGGCTGCTAGAACAGTTATCCTGACAGAAGATATCAGAATGATTCATATTAAAATCTCTATTATGACCAATAATAAAGTGCACACACTTAATGAGCTGATGCTCTCATAACTGACTTGTTAATTGGACTGTGTGGGTGAGTGTCTTCTTAGAGTTTCACTGCTCAAGGGTGAGTTCAGAGATGGTTGGGAGTGTCTGCTACCTGGGCTGCATTATGAACTGGGGACACTTTAAAATTAATTCATATTTAACCCTTCGATAAAAGTCATCGGATTGCTTAATGGCCTAAATGACCATTATGTACAGGTTGGACAGCTTGCTAAAGGGATATGCTATTTTGATTTGAAAGCATATCTGAGCTCTAAGCAGCTTGGTGTGGCCACACGTTTCTCATTCTCAGTCAAGTTGTCACCTGGGGACTGGAGGTATTTGGGCAGTTTTCCACCGTGGCACATCGTTTCAGCTTTCGGGGGGCCTGCAGCTCTCATTCTGTCACTGGGATGCTAATGCTTCTTACCTTTCTATCAAAATCTACCTACTTTCATTCTTAAGAGAAGCTGGAAGGTTATTCTGAACAGGTATACCCTTAAAAGACTTTTAATATAACAAAGGTCCAGGAAATTAAAGTGAAGGAAAACTTTGCTTCTTGACCTAAATGCAGTGGGAGAAGTTTAACAGGAGACACCACACATAAATGCAGCTGTAAGGAGCATCTGGGGGTTTGGCCCCAGCTGTGACCTTCCTCATGCACCCCACTAAGTATGCGTGTCCTGCTGTCACCCCTCTGCCTGCTGACACCTCACTGCAGCTGGGCCTTGCTGGGACAACCTGCAGCTTTCTCTGAATAGGAGGGAGAATGAAAACCACTTGTTGAGGGATATAAAAAAATCTCTCCGGGGCTGCGGTGGTAACAGGAGGGCTTTCAGTTCTGGAAAACATCTGTTCAGGTAGTGAAGACCGTAAACTCCAGAACTGGACGGGGAAGGTAGCCAAACACCAGAGGGTTTTAGCCCCCTTTCCGTGTTGCCGTGTTACAGACAGCACGTGGTGTAGTTTGGCCGCTATGTCCAGCCTCTGGGGTCACTGTGTTATGGGAAGTGTCTCACGGTCTGTCATACCATAGTCACAGAGACTTGAAACTTCTATTTTGACCGATTCCAACTATCCACAGTGAAATAACCACAGTCATTCAAACCAACATAGGCTCTGGTCACTTCTCTTAATCAAGTCATATACTTTGTTCTTAGAAAAAAAAAAAATTCACAGACAGCTTTTTCCATCAGAACATTTCAATAAAAACAAAGTATAAATGCAGTCAGCAAATAAGAGATGGGTTAGAATCAATAAGGCTTGTACTGTAGGTGCAATTTTTTTTTTTTAAATTCATATTTTATCATTGGCCCTTTTGAAATAGTCTTCTCACAAAATGAGTGGGTTTTGGCTTGCGAAAATTGTTCTCAGAAGAATGCTCTACCACTTTTAAAAGCAGTGTTCCACAAGAATATACATCTCCACTTCTCGCTCTTCTCTAGGCTATGGAAATACCTGCTCAGTGTGAGCTGGACGACGGAGGGGGCTGAGACAAGGCTCTGCTACACGTCAAGCTGTGTTCATTTCCCTCCTTGCTTTGTGCAAATGGAAAATGAGCACAGGCACGGCTTTCCTACAGTCATTGTTCCTCATTGTTTGGCTAACCACAGAGATGCCAATTTCTTCTCCCCTTGATCAGTTCTCACCCAGAAGATTAATTTCTAACCTTCAGTATAGCAAGAAGCACAGAAACAAAGCAAGCAGACGAGAATTTTACAGCCTGATGTATGCGATACCGACCACAACAGGCTGGGCCTGGGAACACAACTTTGCTTTTTTAAGAGCTACAGGACAGCAGAATCCCTGCTTCCTCACTGAAGGGAAGGCCTTTCCAGTATTATTTTTCCCAGTCAGTCTTCCTGCTTCCACAGGGAGGGCTGAAACGCTGCAGGTTCTCCAAAGAGAAGTGGCAGAAGGAAAACACTTTAAAGAAACACTGGAGGAAGAGGCGGTTATGTAGAGTGCTGCGCTGGTGAGGGGTTTGCATATCTATTTGGTTTTAGGTCTACCTTTCAGCAGGGCTCAATGAAAACAGACGGAGGCCAAAATCTATTTTAAAAAGGTTAAAACATAAAAAAAACCTTGTGGACAATTACAAAAATGTTGCTTAGCAGCAGCCAGCCTCTGACCAGTTCTTTCAGTAATGGCATTAAAAAACAACCTGATTAATAGTTCAAGACATAGTGCTAGGCAGAAACCTTTTCTCAGTGGTAACAGCTCCCTTGCACTCTTCGTTTGGCTCTTTCACTGTCCACTGAGAAAGGCCAGATGTCCTTTGGTGCATCTGTTGGCATAATGACCTTTTTCACCACACTAAAAGAGAAAGAGAGAGAGGAATTATTACACAGTTACAGTTTCTTTCCTCTAGCTGCCTTTATTAAGGTAGCCAGCAACTGCTCCGATTTGGAAGCTCTTCCGTGTATGGAAAATACAACGTTTAGCACGTGAGGTGAATCATGTTGTCATAAGGGACATGATTTATGGACTATTTCCACTCCTTGGAGCAAAAGCTGCTTCTGTGCTGGGAGTAACCTGCCGTCATGTTATTATAAGCACTACAGAAGAGATTGCTCTCAGCACACCACTACGAACAGCCAAGGGCTGTGACACCAAGGAAAATTTCAATGTTTGAGGCTTCCAAGAACACTCCATCTGATACACACGGCATCAGAGATACACAGGGACTCTCCTGATTGGCTAGCCTGAATTAGACAAAGAAAAGCACAGCTGAACACCAGGTTCATGACTGTGCACTCTGAATTTACTCAAGCCTAGAGAGAAATGTCAGTTTCTGATGCTACAACATTCTCCGGATATGTAATTTACTTGCAGCTAAAATAATAAGCAGCTATTCAAGGTTTTCAGTGAAATGGATTCAGCTACTTAATATCCCTGTCCAATTACAGTAATTTTTACCCAAACAAGCACCTAAAGCACAGAACTTGGCATGTACAATGATGTAACCATCAAAGCTGATGGGACAGGAAGATTCTTTGCCCTTTTCTAGAGGGTAGGGTTGGGCTTTTGTGGAAAAATAAACAGAGATGGTAACTCAATTGTGTCAAAGTTCTACTGGTGCTTCTCAATGAGCAACCAAGGTGAAGAGCTCATTCCTTGGTTTGACAGCAACAGGGTGGATTTACAGCCGAAATGCTGAACAGTCTTTGCATATTCAATTTCTGTTACTCACAAGGACCTTGCATGCTAACAGAGGAGAAGAACATCCTTCTACAATCACCAAGTATAAGCAAATTAACTCGTGAGACAAAACTAATATTAACTCATTTTGAAATGGAGGGATCAGCAGTCTCCTTTAACTGTCACTGTGGTAGGGCTTCCCGTTTATTAGCACACAAGGAAAGTCTGTCCTTAACTGTCACAGCAAGTCCATGAGCTGGCAAACCAGTGACCTAGAGGCACAAGAACCCAATGCTGACTCCCACAGCTGTACCCACTCGTGAAATGCAATGTCTGTTGAGCAGAGCGCACATTTCATGAGCCTGTTCACACTGAAAAAACTTTTTGCAGGACCAACACCCCACATCACAACAGTCTATTCCTTTGCCCATGCAGGCAACCAGCAGCAAAGCAGCATGATGCATATCAGGTGACAGGCATCCTGTATTTCTCAAATCTAGTGCCCTCTGCTTTCCCTCCTCATCCCTCCCTTCTGAATTACCTTGTAGCAGGTGACCTGCTCCAACGGACGGGGTCCTCTATTCCCAGTGTTGTTATTTTGAGACTGCATGACTCCGATGACTTGGGGCGTCCTCTGTTGGTTAGGAGAAGAGTTCTGACTTGTTAAGTGCATTGAGGATAAAGACCTTTACGGTTGTCATTTTGTTAAGAACAGAAAAGAGCACCCCATATATCAAATGATCAGTTTTCCTCCAAATCTGTGTGTGGGTGCTCTGCCAGCTGGAGCACCAAAAAGAAGAAATGAAGCACTAAGGCTTACAAAGCCCAGAGATCCTGCTTTTCTTTGGAAAGCAGACTTAGAGAGTAGGTTTAAGCTGCTAAAATATAATTGCCATCACTGAGAGATGTCATGCAGATTACAAAAACCGGCAGATTGCTGCATAACCACGTATGATGTGCTTCGATGTGACGTGGGAGTGTTCTGTGACTAGATCTCCGTGTAAAGTCGCAGCAATCGTAGGGCTTTCATCTCTGTAATGGCACTCAGGGTTGTTCACTGCTTAATTCCCGCATAGCACCCTCCCTTCCAGGCAGCGCCCAAACCAACAGAACTGCCACTGCTGGCCCCTGAGCTGGAGGAGAGGACTAATGACTGAGGTTAACCAAGGTGAGACGAGAAACAGAATAAAGCAAAACACCACAGTCCCAGGAGGCAGGCAGCAGCAGTGCATTGTGATCAGATGGTGGACATTAGAGGGCTGGGAGGAGGAGAGCGAAGGGACACTGCGTTGCGGTTTATTAGGATTTGTCTCCAGATTCTTAATTACAGAAGAATATCACACCCTATTGTAAAATAGGAAAGGTTTTCCCTCATTCAGTGCCTATCTCTCTAAGGCTTTTCAGCAAGCCATATCCAAGAGCCCCAGTGTCCAGTTTTGGGCACTAGACAATATACCCTCTTTTAAAGCACTGGGGGAAATGCTTTGAGGGTGGGCATGTAGGGGAGGCGGGGGAAGCTTGTACCTTTTGCTGTGTTTGTGTCGGTTGAGGCAGTGGTGGTTGCTCTGTGGTTCCCATTGGCAGTTCAAACCGAGGGCTGGTTTAGATGGAAACAAGAAAATTGATTCTCAAATCATACGCCAACATTTTACCATCAGCTCAGTCAAGTAACTCCAAACAACAAAACAAACAGCCAATTAAATTCAGCTCATAGGAAACAGACCTCTCCC